TCTCCCTGTCCTTATCTCGACCCAAGAGCTTCTCCATATTTTCTTTCCCCCGTCCAGCTGAGAATGGGAGTGATACACTGGCTTTGGTGTGTACGTGGCATGCAGTCAGGGTCAACCCACCACAACCTTTATGATCATCAAGTCCAACCGTAAAGCTGATGCTACCAAGTCCACCACTGAACCCTGTCCCAAAGTGCCACACCTACACGTTTTTTCAATGGCTCCACTGATGGTGATGCCATCACTTCCCCGGCCAGCCTGTTCCAATGCTTGGCCACTCTTCCACTACAGAAACTTGTCCTAATATCCAGCCTAGACCTCCCCTGGCACAACATGAGGACATTTCCTCTCGTCCTATCACTTAGTTACTTGGGAGAAGAGACAACACCCTCCTCACCACAACCTCCTTTCAGCTAGTCCTAGAGAGCAAGAAGGTCACCTCTCAGCCTCCTCTTTTCCACACTGAACAACCCCAGCTCCCTCAGCCGCTCCTCGTAAGCCTTGTTCTCCAGACCCCTCACCAGCTTCGCTGCCCTTCTCTGGACTTGCCCCAGCAGCTCAATGTTCTTCTTGTAGCAAGGGGCCCAAAACTGAATAAAGTACTCAAGGTGCGGTCTCACCAGTGCCAAGCACAGGGGCATGATCGCTTCCCTACTCCTGCTGGCCACACTAGTGCTGACACAAGCTTTTGTACGTTTTTATCTTTACTAGCAACCAGCCACCACTCAATTACCCACCTTGGATGCTGGAGTTATCCTCCGTTTTGGTGGTTTTATCTGTTTCTGCTGGGTTTGATGGACAGTCACGGCCTGGTTATCCATAGATATAGTGGGGAGCTGTAACATTTTGCTAACAGCTGTAGAGGTGTCTACTGGTGATGGCTCTCGGAGTTTTACGTGGGAGGAGAAGGACTCCAGCCCAGGAGGAGGAACAGGAACTGCCTGAGTTTGTTGCTGCTGTCGCTGGGTCAGCTGGCTCAGAACTGGCGATGGTTCAGGCTGGGATTTAAAGTCTGTTCATCGTTGGGAAAAAGAAATATCAAAATTAAAGCATTAAACTCTGCTGTTCACTTTTCTGTTCTTTATGAAAGAATCTGTGTGACTTGACACAGTTGACAGCTATGATTTTACAGCATGTGCTCTTTCAGACAGACATCACGCAAGTTTAACATTGAAAATTACCACTGTAATAATAAGAAAAACACTTGGTATTCTTTAAGAAGCTGTGGGCAAGCACTGTATAGCTTTCTTCAAAAATATGAAGACAAACCTACCTATATAGTCACATAATATTATTACACATTACTCCTCAAAACATGTTACAGATTATTTTCATCAAACACTGCAAGTTTCACTGCAATTAAATGTGCAGAGAAAAAATTATTACTTCCCAGTGATCTGGAGTTGCAATTTAGAGGTATTATGAGTTACGACTTCCTGCCCCTACAAAGGGGAAGATTTTCAACACAAATAAGAAGTCATCTACCATCTCAATCTGGCAGAAAGTCAAGAGATACTTGGACACTGACAGGTTTTTTTCCAAGTTTTCCCCTTTCATATTTTTCAGACACTGAAAACCATGTAGTGGCTCAGAGTACTGGTCAACAACCGTAAGAGATCCATAGAATTTGCAATGTGAACATTTTTTTATCCAGTTGGTAAAGTGCATTAGAAAGCAACTTAAAACGTAAGTATTTTTTTCAGAATTGCTGTGTGTAAAAGATTATACCTGCTACCAAACTGGCCGCTTATCTGTCTGGAAACATATACACATGCACATGAGATAGATACAAGAGCTATCACTCTTCACAATTAGAAAACTGCAAAACCAAGTTTGTGTCATTTTTCACTGTTTCTACTAGTTTTACTCAATTAAATGAAAAAATCCATACAATTATGAATAGACAAAATGGGTAACCTGCATTATCCTCAGCACTCTAGGGAAAG